TATGCAAACTGCTGTATGGAAAGTGAATTTTCTCCATAAACTTTCACCCAAATCACAATTTAAGGGAAAAGAAATTCAGTTCCTTTGTCACACTGGCCACATTTAAACTGCTCAATATCCATAAGTATCTAGTGCCTACTTTATTGGACAGTGCAGATACTGATCATTTCCCTCAACACAGAAATTTCTATTGCACAATGCTGCTATGGAAAGGTTCCCAGCTTTATAAAAAGTTTAAGTTTTATCTCTTTTCAGTTGTGCATTCCCCATGTGTAATTGGGGGATTAAGGTTTCAGAGTCAGCTCTTCTCTTGAGATTTTTGGGTAATCCATCCTCTTCCAACATCATTGTTGGATTCTTTTTCTACTGGTTAGTATGGAAGGCCAATCGTACTGCCCAACCCTTCCTATTCTTGACACATTCTTCTTCTTTTTAATGGAACTATCTGGTGCCAGTCAGTTTCCATTATCTACCTCCCTTTCTTACACAAATTAGAAATATTTAGTGATGTAAGCTTAATATTGAGAACAGAATAGCCACGTAGGTCTACAAAGGGAAAAGAACTTGAGTCTGTTCCTAAAAACAAGATTTAAGATCCTGTCCTCATGAGAATATTTTTAGCTGACATTTCTGAATAGAATCATAAAAAAATATGAAAAAATACTAGAAGATTAAAATGGTCCACCATGCAGTGAAGGCAATGGCTGTGCTCATTTTTGTTGCTAATACCTCTTTGGCATTCCACAGAATCTTCTTCTGAGGAGGAGAGTCCTGTGACTGGAAGGAGGTCTCAGTCATCACCACCTTATTCTACTATTGATCAGAAGTTGCTTGTTGATGTCCATGTAGGTTTCCATCTTAACACATTTACATCTAATTTTTTAATTTTCAATTTTTTAACTTCCATTTTCATTTTCACTGAAAGAAGGAAAAGTTAGAGGGGTTTTTTTATCAGTCACTTTCAGACATATGTCCTTTGTTACGTTACCATACAGAATATGAAATCTAGAAATTAAATTTGAAATGGAAAAATAATTGATCTGAAAATATTTCATTTTACATGTTTGTGTAAGAACATTTATGAAAGGGGAATGATAAAGAGCTATTTGTGGAAGATAACCTGATATTAAGGGGACAAGATCAGGTGCTCAAATTTTATCTAATATAATTTCTTGGAGTATGAGGCAATGTGAAAAATAAAGCACTCAAAGAAATTAAAGTGACAACTGAATGCATAAGAATGTTCTTCAAGTCTTTTTGCAATTGTGCTTTCAGATCATTTTGTTTTACATTTATATTTATAATTACCCCCCTCACCATACACACACCCTTTGTAGACTTACTGGAAGTGCCATATGACCCCAAATCAAATCAAACCAGTCGCTGTTAAGTTGACTCTGACTCATGGCAACCCACGCATGTCAGAATAGAACTGTGCTTGATAGGGTTTGCAATGCCTAAATTTTTGGCAGTAAATGACCAGTCCTTTCTTCCAAGGTGCCTCTGGGTGGACTCGAACTGCCAACCTTTCAGTTAACAGCTGAGCACTCAACCATTTGCACCACCCAGAGACTCCAAAGGTGCTATGTTACATACATTGTTGTTGGTGGTGTTTTTATTGTTGTTGTTGGTGGTGGTGGTGGTGGTGGTGGTGCCATCAAATTGGTTCAACACTTAGAGACCCTATGTACAACAGAATGAAACACTGAAAGAATGAAACACTGCCCAGTCCTACATAATCCTTAAAATTGTTGCTATGTTTGAGCCCATTGTTGCAGCCACTGTGTCAATCCATCTCATTGAGGGTATTCCTCTTTTTTGCTGACCCTCTAGTTACCAAGCATGATGTCTTTCTCCAGGGACTGGTCCCTCCTGATAACATGTCCAACGTATATGTGATGAAGTCCTGTCATCCCCACTTCTAAGGAGACTTCCAGCTGTACTTCTTCCAAGACAGATTTTGTATGTTCTTCTGACAGCCCATGGTATATTCAATATTCTTCACCAACATCATAATTCAAATGCAATTCTACTCCCATCTTCCTTATTTACTGTACAACTTTCACATGCATAAGAAGCGATTGATAATACCATGGCTTGAGTGAGGCACACCTTAGTCTTCAAACTGATATCTTAGATCTTTAATACTTTAATGAGATCTTTTGCAGCAGATTTTCCCAAAGCAATAAGTCATTTGAATTCTTGATTGATTGCTACTATCATGGGTTTTGATTGTGTATCTAAGTAAAATGAAATTCTTGACAACTTCAATCTTCTCCACTTATTGTGATGCTGCTTATTGGTGAAGTTGTGAGGATTTTTGTTTTATTTATGTTGGGGTTTAGTCCATACTGAAGGCTGTGGTCTTTGATCTCCATCAGTAGATGCTTCAAGTACCCTTCACTTTCAGAAAACAAGTTTGTGTGCATATCACAGGTTGTTAATGAGTCTTTCTACAATCCTGATGCCATGTTCTTCTTCATATAGTCCAGCTTCTTTGATTATTTGCTCAGCATAGAGATTGAATAAATATGGTGAAAGGATACAACCCTGATGCATATCCTTCCTCATTTTAAACCATACAGTATCCCCTTGTTCTATTTGAATGACTGCCTCCTGGTCTGTGTACAGGTTCCTCATTAGCACAATTAAGTGCTCTGGAATTCCCCTTCTTCTCAATGTTATCTGTAATTTGTTATGATCCACACAGTCAAATACTTTTGCATAGTCAATAAAACACAGGTAAACATCTTTCTGGCATTCTTTGCTTTCAGCCAAGATCCATCTGACGTCAGCAATGTCCTCTTTTGAACCTACCTTGCATTTCTGGAAGTTCCCTGATAATATCCTGCTGCAACTGTTTTTGAATTATCTTCGGCAAATTTTTACTTGCATGTGATACTAATGATATATTTTTATTATTTCCACAATTTATTGGATCGCCTTTCCTGGGAATGGGCACAAATATGGATCTCTTTCAGTCTGTAGGCCAGGTAGCTGTCTTCCAAATTTCTTGGCATAAACAAGTAAGCACCCACAGAGCAACATCTGTTTGTTGAAACATCTCAATGGGCATTCTGTCAATTCCTGTAAACTTGTCTTTCACCAATTCCTTTGGTGTAGCTTGGACTTCTTCCTTCCATATCATTGATTCTTGATCATATGTTACCTCCTGAAATGACTGATGACCAATTCTTTTTGGTACAGGGGCTCTGTGTATTCCCTCCAACTTTTTTTGATGCTTCCTGCATCTTTCACTATTTTGCCCATAGAATACTTCAACATTGCAGCTCAAGGCTTGGATTTTTTCTTCAATTCTTTCAGCTTGAGAAATGCCAAATGTGTTCTTCCCTTCTGGTTTTCTAACCCAGATTTTTAGCTTCTTATGTTCAAGAGCAAGTTTCAGAGTCTCTTCTGACATCCATTTCGATCCTTTCTTCCTTTTCTGTCTTTTTAATGACCTTTTGCTTTCTTCATGTATGATGTCCTTGATATCATCCCAAAACTCATCTGGTCTTTGGTCTTTGGTGTTCATTGCATGAAATCTGTTCTTTAGATGGTCTCTAAATTCTGATGGGATATACTTAAGGTCATATCTTGGCTCTTGTGGACCTGTTTTAATTTTCTTCAGCTTCAACTTTAGCTTGTATATGAGCAATTGATGGTCTGTTCCACAATCAGCCTTTGGCCTTGTTCTGACTGATGATGTTGACCTTCTCCGTTGTGTCTTTCCACAGATGTAGTCAATTTGATTCTTGTGTATTCCATCTGGCAAGATCCAGGGGTAAAATTACTCTTTATGTTGTTGAAAAAAGTGTTTGCTACGAGTGAGTTGTTAGTCTTACAAGTTCCATCATGCAATAGCCAGTGTCATTTCTATCACCAAGGCCATATTTTCCAACCACAGATCTTTCTTTGTTTCCAACTTTCACATTGCAGACACAGTAATTATCAATGCATCTTGATTGAATTTTTCATCAATTTCAGACTGCAGAAGTTGGTAGAAATCTTCAATTTCTTCACCTTTGGCTTTAGTGGTTAGTACATAAATTTGAATAATAGCTGTGTTAACTTGTCATGTATGTGTATTGATATTACCTGAAGCCTGGCAGTATTGTATTTCAGGATAGATCTTGAAATGTTCTTTTTGATGATGAATGTGACCCCATTCCTCCTCAATTAGTCATTCCCAGCATAGTAGATCATATATGATTGTCTGATTCAAAATAACCAATACCAGTCCATTTCAACTCACTAATGCATAGGATATCAATCTTTATGCATTTAGTCTCTTACCATATATACCATATTTAACATGTGAATTTACATTAATTTGCTTTTTAAACGTGTGCTTGAGATATATTAAGATGACTTATGGCCTGTAAAACCAGAGCTGAAAAATTAACATATCAATTTAAGAGCCTCTCGTTAATCCCAATCTATTGGGATTAAATAAAAGGTGAAAGTTACTTTATCTATAGGGCATCAGCTCGCCTACTCTGTTCTGCATTGAAATCAAATATCTAGTTTTCAGCAGATAAGGATAAATAATAAAAAACAAAGAGAGTAAATTTTGCCATGTGTGATACAGAAAGGCCATTGATAATCACAGTCTGTGGTTTGGGTTTTCCATTTAATTCTCACTACAAGTTGGCTCTCTACAGCAAGTGAACATCTTCATTTCAATTGAAATTATATTTTTATAATGTTTTCAGCTTGGGAAATTTTCCGATCTAGAAGAAAATGAAATGTTACCAGAGACTACATTAACCTTTCTTGTGCACACAGGTTCCAGATGGATTTAAAGTAGGAAAAATTTCACCCCCTGTGTACTTGACAAATGAATGGGTAGGCTATAACGCACTTTCTGAAATATTCCGGAATGATTGGTTAATTCCTGCACCTGTCATTCAGCCACCTGAAGAGGATGGTGAATATGTTGAACTCTATGATGTTGGTGCTAATACTGATGGTGACGGTGATGATGATAATGATTCTAATGATGCTTATGAAGATACCTATGACCATGGAAATGCAAAAGAGGACTTTGATAACCAGATGGATCAAGCTAATGATGTCTGTGAAGGCCATCATGATGACAAGAATGAGAAGGCTGTTGTTGAAGAAGACAATAATCATGATGATAATTCTATTTGGCCAAGGTTGGTTTTTCTGGGTTACTTCTATAATTATACAATTATACAATTTCAGAAATATGGGAATATTCCATTTACTTTAAAAATTCACTAACAAGAGGGTGAATGAATTACACTTTCATATACAAAATAACGTCATTTTCAATAAGAGATTTTAAGTTTGTTAATGCAGAACACTTTGTGTTATTTGTATATTTTTTGTTAGCATTCAAGTATTTATTAGCTTCTTTATGTCTGAAACTGAGTGTTTCCATTAAAATTAATACATGATCCTACCCTGTAAAGGTACAGTGGCATAAGAAATGGTGTTATAAATGAAGTATGCTATTTAATAACTGTAAGATGAAGCCTTAGTATTGGTGAACAAGCTCTAATTTTACTGAGAAAAAAATAAATTGTAAAATTGACTCCAACTGCTTGATATTTTCAGGCTGTAAATTACTAAAGTAGTGCTGTTCTTAGAATTCTGGGAACTGCTGTAACTTAATCCAGTACTCATTCACTTTTATCTTCATACAGAATAGTTGCCCAAAATGTTATTTGGTGAAGTAATGCTTTTAGCATGCCACCAGTTGTTTGCTATCTTAGTTCCTTGCTCATCTCTAATCAGAGAGTGTGTTCTTATTTACATATGTCCATGGTTTCCATTTAAACTGATTAGTTAATATAGTGTGTATAAATATAGATTTTTTTGTCTTCTAAAAATGAATATACACATTTTTTTCATTTTTAGGAAAATTATTAACAGTGGGAAAATTGTTTGCTTTATAACATTAATACCTATATATCATTTTGCTAAATTATCTAATAATGTTATTGGGGAAACATACATGCCAGAAGGGACTACATATCATTCAGCACTTTTTAAAAACAAGGATGTATACGAAATATAAATAAATTTGTTATTTAAAACTGAACAAAAACATTAAACAATCATGACTGTGGTAAACATGAAATCTTAGAGGAATGGATGCACAATGCAAAGTATATATAACTAAATTATGTTGTTGTTGTTATGTGCCGTCGAGTCAGACCCGACTCATAGAGACCCCTCCTTGGGTTTCCAAGGCAGTATTACTATGGAAGTAGATTGCCCGACCTTCCTTCCGAGGAGTGGCTGGTGAGTTTGAACTACCAGTCTTCTGGTTAGTAGTCAAGTGCCTTAGGCACTACGCTACCAGAGCTCCTATAGTATTCTCCATTTATTTTATCATTGAATATGAGTCTTGTTCTTTATAGAAGAGTTTTAGTTTAAAAGCCACTTGTATTAGAATCTTTTAGGGTACTTCTTGAAGTGAATAATACTAATCCCATTACAAATGTCCAGTACTAGAGTATCCCTTATAAACCAAAGTTTTAGAGCCACTGATCTAGAGATTCACACATTGCATAGTAAACATTTGTATCCATTTGGAAAATTATTCTTGCTATGCAAACAAAAGCTCGTATTCTACAAAGAAATAAGAGCTTATTTCTTGAGCAGGGAACTAGTTCTTTCAAGTAAGATCTCATCATGTCTCCATCTCTGCTAGACACGGGGTTTTATTATTATTATTATACTTCTTTTTAGATTTTTTTAAATTTTTTGTTTTTGCAGTGTTCCCTTCCCTCCCCTCCCACCCCTGGCAACCAACAAAGAAAGTTTGTTTCCATATATAAACATTTCCTTGACTTTTTAGAATAATGAACTAATGCAAGATTTGTCCTTCTGTGATTGACTTATTTCACTCAGCATAGTGTCCTCCAAATTCATCCACATTATGTGTTCTTTAGCAGATTCTACATTATTCTTTACTGTTGCATGGTATTCCATTGTGTGTATGTGTAGACACAGTTTTAATAACAAGATTTGTTCCAATTAACCCCTGTTACTAGTATCAGTGGTTCTCAATTCTAACTACACAACTGAATCACCTGAGGGGCTTTAAAAAGTACTGTTGCTTGAGCCCCAGCCCAGATCAATTAAATCATAATACCTGCAGCTAATTCTGGACCAGAATATTTTATAGCTGAAAAGTGGAGGAATTTGATTAATGTTTCTGTGCGTACTAATGCTCTCCTAGATGTGGCACGTAAGTCTGACAACGTCTCTTTAATGAATTGGGAAATGTACTGTTTAACCAAAAGATGTGTACATCCCACGAAAAACTGAAGAACTGTATGCAACCTGTTCTTTGTTGATTTACCTGTACATAATCTGAAACATGCTTGAGTGAATGATTTAATCACTTCAATTTTTGGCTACCTGTCCAGACTTATAGTTAGTGTTGTGTCTTCCCCATTCAGTTAGATGCCAATCAGGTTGTTCAGGGTGCATTTCCCTTATTGTCATGCCCCCTATTTCTCCAGAATCTAAGCTACATTTAGAAAAGTCAAATAGTGGAGAGCAAATGTTTGGTGACCTAAGTCACTCAAGGCTTATCTTTCCAGTGCCTCCCTTTTCCCTTGTTGCCTCAAGTTTTTGTTGATAGGCAGCAATAGAAAGAGTTAAAGAAGAAAACACAGACAAAGCGTTATTGTGAAGTTCTTTATGAGAAAATTTGCATGTAAATAGGCATGACCCTTGTGGATAACTTTTAGACGATTTAGATAATTTCCACATAGCAATTTTAATTTCCATGGTTATGCGTTTCTCAGTTGAGATATTGAAGTGTATATAATAAATTTAAATGAGTAGTAAGATGATCTTTATCTGCTTAATTGGTGGAGAAATTACCAAGAGTTCTTTTTATTTTTTGCCAATTAAACAATCTACCAGGAATTCCTTTATCAAGTAAATTTGCTTTTAAGATTACCAAAGGCACATGTGTCTAATGGTGTCTCTTATGCAAAATCAATCATTGGAGCATTTTGTTAAGTTTAGCGTTTTTAACAACTAATTAAATGACTCTCGTAGTTCTATAAGATCTCTGTTATTGAACCTCCTGGTGGTAGTAATAGGCCAGTGGGATTTGGTAGCAAAGCAGTTAATACACAAGTAAAAATAATCAAAGTTTATATTAAAATTAACATAACAAATTACTTACATTGCAAGAACAATTATTCAAATATGTTTTGATTGAACAGAAAATATGGACTTGATGGTTGTGAAGTTACTAATGCAATAATTATTATAATATTTAGGGGGAAAAAAAGTTATTGCTACTAACCTAACTCAAATTCCTAAGAATGAATGCAAGTCCTCTTGCCTCTGCCATTCAAATAGCTATGGTGTTAATTTAATGTTTAATATTGATAGGAGAACATTTTGTGGGAATTTTCTTGTCTATGCTATACCAAAAGTAGAGAGCCAGAGAAGAAGGGGAAGACCCTCAGTGAGATGGATTGACACAGTGGCTGCAATGATTGGCTGAAACACAGCAGGGCTTGTGAGGATGGCACACAATGGGCAGTGTTTCTTTCTGTTGCACATAGGGTGTCATGAGTCAGAGTCAACTCAATGGCACCTAACAACAACAACATGCTATACCAATAAGCTAAGTTTACAGTGTTCACACTGAGGAAAAACATGCCCGGATGTGGTAGATATGTACAATGTTTCATTTGCTGACTTTCAAAGGTATTTTTGTTGGGTTGCTTTCTTTCATTAATTTGAGCTTGTTATCAGGCTAAGCTGTGGCAAAGGTGGAAGAGGTGGAAGCTGCAAACAAGATGGTGGAGGTGGAAGTGATGGGAAAGAAGGAACCTGTAGAGTCTATGGAAGCCATGGAAACAGTGGAAGCCATGGAGAGAGTGCAGCCATTGGAGACCGTGAAGGCACTGGAAGAAGAGGAGGCAAGGAAGGAAGTGGAGGTAAGGAAATCAGTGGAACCAATGAAGAGAGTGGAGATCGTCAACTCAGTGGAGAAGAAAATTGCTCAGAGACCCATGTTCCAGGATTGGAGAGACCAGCATCCCAGGATATTGAACATCAACAGGAGGTAATACACTATTCGAAAAAGAGAGTGAATTCATCTCATTGTGAATGTGTTTCTTCTTGTGCTATGTAGCATTTCCAGCCATTCCAAACAGATTTTAACCTTCTACCCCAAAGCCTTAAACACACTTCACTGAAAATACAGCCTGCTTACACTAACTTACAGAGAAGAAACTCAGAAAAAGAGGCACAAAATGTGCCAGAATTTTTGTGGGATGCTAATCTTGTGGGGGGGAGCTCTGGTAGCATAGTGCCTAAGGCTGGCAGTTCAAAACCACCAGCCATTCCTCGGAAGGAAGGTTGGGCAATCTACTTCCATAGTGACACCACCTCAGAAACCCAAGGAGAGGTAGCTATGAGTCTGGTCCAACTGGATGGCACATAACAACAACAACAATAATCTTGTGGGAAACCATACCAACTAACATCCTATCTGTTAATAAGTCCTTCTATGAGTCTAAATAGTAATTATTGGCATTAAGAGAGGTGTTCTGCCCTGTCATAGACAGGTTTTATGATCTTTTCAACCACAAAAGTACTGTA